GATTTTTTATGGAAACACATAGGGACATAAAAGGGCACATAAAAGGGCAATTGGTTAAATCTTTAAATACAGGCAAATCTACAGTATTAAGAGTACACATTTAACGAACGTGAACGTAAAAAAAATCAAATACTTATATACCATTTATATGGAAATCTATCCATTGAGAAATGAAGATTTTAGCCAGAGACAGGTGCTAAACAAAGCGATATCGACCTACAGGTAGTAATATGATTAACGTTTACTTTTACCAATCAAGAATAAACTAAAGTTTTATATTTAAATCGGGAAACATCTTGAAACCATTTTTAAACTAACCTAGTAGCATTGTGGTAAAAATCTCAGATGATCAGCTGTTTATCTCATCACAAGGAATTTTTGTTAGAATATTTTTATTTTTTTCAGATCCAAAAGATAACGTTGATGTATTTGCTAAAAAGAGAGGCAGGTTACTCAAAAATATAAAAAAATATAAACAGATTTCTGACCTTGCTAATCGGACTCAAACACATGTTAATATTGCAGATAGAAAGCCTTCCCGAATTCTGGACCGATTCTAAGAGTTTTGTAGAAAGCCTTTCTAAAGTCCTTTGGTACCAAAATGTCGAACAGAACGATACGTTCAATCTAGGTAACAAACAATATAAGGGATCTAGATCTAGGGATCTATATACTTTATATGTTTAATTGTATGATGATGAGACCATTGTTTAGTTAAGTGTATTTGTTGTTATGCGATGAATGTGTATTTGTAAAATAAAGCATTTTGAATTCAATCATTTTCAATTATTTGTAAGAGGATACCAAAGGCTCTTAAGAGGAGTCATTATGTCATGCTTAGGTCGTGCCTATTAAACCCCTCCTCTGAATAATACATAGAAACTGTTATAGTAGAGTTCAACACTGACTATTATGAAAATTACATAAAAAGTAACGTGAATAATATATATATGTTCAAAAAGCTTTCAAGCGTTCGTTCTGAAATCATGATGTCAGTGTTTAAGTTTTGTTGTTAAAAATCCTTGAAAATCATCATCGGACAGTACTTAGATGTGAATTAAGTTCAAGTGAACTATATTTTAGAGTTTTGAAGTTAACTTTAGTTTTATGGAAGAAATAGTTATGTATTGATGCAAAACTTTTAAGTAGCGAGGTATTTATTACAATACGGTGATTTTAGCGAAGGAGTACTATTGTCCTCATAAAGTAACTTTTCAACCGGCTGATTAAAGAAAGACATATTTTTTATTCATAACCTAATATTTTTCTCTTACTTGATTTGATACTAACAAACCAAAATAACTCCCTAGTGTGAAGCCATTTCTTCCCTAGGCTCAATGCGTGGGCTAGTTAACATGATTTACTTACTCATTTATAAAACTTGAGATTTTCGCTTTTGGATATATGCATAGTGTTAAGTATATTACAACAGTTTAGCCATGAGATTTAAACGTTAGTTTAGTTAGTAACAATAGCTTGAGCAACAAATTACTAGTGCTTGAAAAGACAACTAATTTTTTAACAGATTTGGTATTCATAATTAAAAACGGTAAAACTGTTTAGTTATGTTAGTAGTTGCCTTCTCAATCGGTTGGAGTATTTTTTGTTTAACCTCTTTTTTTGGAAAAAACTTTGTATTGTTTTAAATATAAATAGAATAGTATAAAACACCAGTCTAAATTGAAACATTACCACCTGAAATCAGCATCTCCCAATATTTTTCAGAACCGCCAATAATTGACATGACCAATACAAATTTTGTATTTGTTATTTAGGTTCAATAAATGAGTTATGAGTTATATTTTCCAAAATTTTTTTTGGAACCCTTTGGAATGTTAATAATGTAAGTTGACCTGTCTTATCAGCTAGTCTCATAGACTGTCAATTATTTATGCGAAAGGATATTTTAATAATTGTTGAAATGTTTTTAATATACATGTGATTTGATTTTCTTCCTTTATGACATTCACGCAATTGTTTAAATAAGTAATTCCATTCTATTGTAATTGGAATATGTTCATAATTCAGTTATCAATTCAAAAACCGTTCATGCCATGTCACCACGTCACGTCCATCAACTACTTTGTTTTTGGCAACTGTTGTCTTTAAACATGTACCTACTGTTCTATTTTTGACCACATGAGTATTAACTGAGGTTGTATATTTCATTTACCTAGGACCGTGTTTTAAAGTAGCCGTTTCAGTTCAGTTCTTAGAATTGAAAAGTTTCTCATAACAGCATTGTTTACTTTCTTGACAGCATTGTTTTACTCATCAACGCAGGTAATGAACCAATTAGGTTCAAGGATTGAGAAAGAAGAAGTAAAATTGTAATGCTTCGAACTTCAGCTAATCAGCTGTTTACCAATTTAATTGTTAACGAATGGTGCAACTAGTGATTGGTACGTTGCATCATTGTCAGTAGCAATGTAAAGTTATAAACAAAAACATAACCTCTCTAGAAGTTATGAGTACAGTAGACTCCCTCTTTTCCGGACATTGGTTTAACCGGACTACACGCGAAGGAAATGACATCTCTTTAACCGGACAATTTTTATCAGCACATTGGTTTAATCGGACTAGATCGGCAGGAAGTGGCCGGTACTGAAACGACTGTTCTCGTAGGAAAGATTTGAGAACAGTAATCACATGTCTAAATACAATGCTCTCCTAAATTTAAGTCGAATATCACCGTAAATGGTCCGTTTTAATGAGTTTTTGGGGACGTCGGCTTAACCGGAAAACCCGTTATCCGGACTGGACTCGGTCCCTAGGAGTTCGGAAAAGAGGGGGTCTACTGTAGTGATTGTTAGTACTGTAATTAAAAAACTGTCGTAAAGTAGTGTATGCAACTCGCGTAAATAGTGTTAACGACACTCGTAGAAGTGTTTAAGGCACTCGCCAATGATCGTACCTTAAATGTTCTACTCGTGTTGTAAACACTATCTTTACGCGATCGTTGCATAAACTACTAACTTTAGGCTACAAAATCTGACAAAACAACTGTCGATTCAACAATGTCAACGTATTTCATGAACTATCTCAGAGTCTACTGCCTAGTTTCGCGATATAAACTCGCAGTTTATGTAAATATACAGCTGTTTATCCACGCTTTCCTTTTACCCGTAGGGACGATCAAGTCCAACATAAAACAAATATGAAAAGTGGTGGGTAGAAAGGGGGAGAAGAGGCAAAGAAAGGCAGAACAAGGCTTGATAAGATAATGGAAAGTAAACACAAGAGGAATCCAGCGTCCAGCGCCCAACACAAACAGACAACCTTATTACACAATGCTCTCTGTCTGCTGTTTTTTGCAGTGTAAACATGTTACGTTGTGTGCTCTCGAGTCATGAATATGAATACTTCGTGTTTCTTACTTAGACAAACCCAACGACCTTAAATTTTGTTTTTAATTGGAGGTAGAAATGAGATGGTTACAAACATTTTTACGTTTGTGCATTAAATGACATTGTGAATTGAATTTACATTTTAAGCTAGTCAAAGAATACTTTACTTGGTGTAAGATTAAGTAGATTAAAAAGGCGTCATTACATTAACTCAAAATAGTTTTAGGACCTGCAGTGTTAAAACTATAGTATTTGCTTCCTTAATCTTATAACAATAAGCTTAGAACTTAAACTTGTCTTTAGGTAGTGAAGTTAAAAGTAACAAATCTTAAACATATAAAAAAATTAGGGTGGGTTTGTGTAGTTGTGGTCACGTAGATGTGGCCATGACATATACGTACTCATTGTGATATATATCGATGCTCATATCTAAGAAGGTTGCCGCAAACTGATTTCAAATATCTCAAATGGTTGAAAAGTTGAGGCGGTGTGCAAGTTACTTTTCAGCCACCCTGTATAGTGGGAAGCATCACAATGATTGTACTATTCTTAAATTCATATTAAACTACTTATTTCAAAACAACGGTATCTTAAATATTAAAAGTTGAAAGTCAAGAAAAGGCTAGGTTCACAAAAAGTTAAAATTTGAAATAAATATATATTTTGAGTCCACAAGTAGTAGTCCTCTTGTTCGTTATATCGTTTGGTTAACAAAGTCATTAGCATTTTATTGTTTATAGTATTTCACGTTTATTGCCTGCCTCAACTGACTAAGCATTCAATTTGTAAGGTTCTATATACTGTTTTAATAATATTAATTGTGAATGTTGCATATTAGTATTTTAATTATTGGGAATCTTTGTTATTATCTCCCTAATTAATTTTATTGACTAAAACTATCACACATTCTATCTTTAAAAAAATTACCTTATTATAGATTTTTTTCTATCTTAAGAGGTCAAATTCTTTATATATATTAAAAATTGTAAATTAACATATCTATAATAGCTGCCCAAAACTTCTTTCAGGGTGCAACTGCTTGTGCTATGAAGATATAGCGAATTATTCTTCCCACAATGATGTAATCATAAAACCAACACCTACATACAATATGTTAAGTAGTTTTGCTAAGTTTTGAAATTTGAATCTAAACCTCATTGATTAAGGTGAAATTTCTTCACAGATCATAAAAACTACAAGTATTTATGAAAAAAATCATTCTTAACAAAGAGTAAAGTACAGAAGTATCACTCGCTATCCAGTAAATTATTTTAAAGTAATAATTTTGTCTGAATTTCAATGGATCTGCTGAAACCCATAGAATGTAGGTCCACTAAGCTAGTTAGTAATTACAACAGCCTAAGTAGTAGAGTATGGCTGTGACAAAATCATACTGAACGCTGTTGGTATTTACTCAAGCTCGAATTCTACGTTAGTAGCCAAAGTATTAAATCAGGAGACCAAGTCAAAAGATCTCTTAGCCCGATGAATATGAAGTGAACTGTTGCTCGTATTCTAATCTCATTTTCAACGCTAAAAAGTGGGACGAAAAACCCAACCTTTTACGTATGTAGTGGAAAAACTCATAGGTTATGGTAAGTTTGGTAAGTTACAGCATATTATGTTGTAAGAGCAAATCAGGTTTTAACTTACCGTTGATGGCGCTCTTATCGGCGCTGGTACCAGGGGGCCCCGGGGGTTTGTCCGAGGGCTGCTCTTGACCAGCACTCGTGCTTCCTTGGTTGAGAGAGTTCCATAGTGCAACAGCCCCTACGTTCACATCTCCTCCTGGTGGTACAACAGGTATGTTGTTAGAAATGTAAACACCCTCACTTTCGATCAATCAACAGAAACGCACTTAGGGATTGGAACTACAAGTGAATAAGAATGCAGGGCGAGTGTCCCTGTATAGTTTAGTTTAATACTAAAATCAGTAATTTCTTCAGTCAAGCTCGTTTATTAAAAACTATTTTTTGATTCCTAGTTTGCATAGCCTTTCTTAAATCTATTTGCTTATTTAGGTACTGTAGAAATTTAACATGCAAACTTCTAAAGAGTGAAACATTTTCACCAGTTTGTTCTTTACTGGTAAAACTTTTATCTAGTTGGAACGAGTACAAATTTGTATATTAGCTGGATTCTAGCATTGACTATTGGATACAGAAGAAGATATCCCATCTGTATGGATCAGCTGTCACCATTTTTTTTTTATTAAAAACTAATGTAGTTGTGTGAGCCAGTCACAGATTGCTCTAGTGTCTAAAACTCTATTTTGTACCTTATTGTTTGTTACTGACATAGTTACTGGGTCATAACAGTTGCTATAGCTCATAATAAGTCATTTGACTTGGTAAAAACCATAGTGTAATTGGCAGAAATCAGTAATTTATATCAGTGCAACCTGTAGGTGGCTCACATCAACTAAGACAAATTTGATCAAAAACCTGGCGACAACTTTAACATGGGGATGGAATGTTTAAGATTCAAGTAATCACAAATCCATTTAATATATTTATTTTAAGGATGTAACTCTTTAAAAGTTTACTTTTCATAAATGTAGCCTCAAATTATGTATTTATGTTTATCATGATAAACCGTTTTTATATAATTTGGTAAGCATGTAATGTAACAAAGCAATTAAAGGAAATAATAACGTCTAAGTAATGTTTGATAACGATTCAAATGACAAATTTGTTCAAAGTGAAATTCACCAATATCTTTGGTTATGGAAATATTAAGCTGGTCTAACTAATAACATTTAAATAATTTGGACAATTAAGAAAAAAAATGGTTGACTTGTTTAAAACTAAATTGTTTTACCATGAAACTATTTTACAATATAAGAGTCAACAACAACAACCAAATTAACATGGTTTGACGAAACGTGTTTGCATTTCTGTTTACATAGTTCGAAGTCCTGTTAACATTGCCCAGAATTTCCACAACCTCTACAGAAATTATATTGGACCAGCATTATAACTGCTACATAAATTACTGATCCGGCGAAAGTAGGGGGAGCGAGGCTTTGATGGGGTGGGGAGGGGAGGGGTAAGCCCCGAGGGACGGTTTCCAGGCAGTTATTTTACGATGCTGTTTATTCTCCGAGAGACCTAATAAACAAAGTCGTGTTTTTGTTTATCAATCGACAAATACTCATCGATGAATGTTTAGCTTTGTTAACGGTACCCTTTTCATTTGAGTGCCGTTGTTAACGACAATGATTTTTAAAGAGGATCGCTCTCCCAAAGTGCTTGTGTCATGCATTTTACTCGCGTCAAATATAAAATTAAATTTTTCTTTTCATTGAAACATATACCGTTACAGATACTAATTGTTTTCTGTGAGTTTGTTTAACCATACCATTTACATTATTTCTTATTTTCAATTAATATACTTCATATATTTAACACAACTAATTGAATGATACAAACATAGCTTTGCACGAAGTTTTGATTCAAATCTTTGATACAATACATTTACCTTTCCTCTTATATTCAGCCGGTGAATAACTATAATCTGGCAATGTATTATGAATTTTTGCAATTAAAAGCGTTATAAGCGTTATTTAACCTCAGGATAAAATAACCATTTGTTAAAGAAAATGAAGATGGGATGTAAAACCATGTAAAATACGAATTGTAGTGAAATTTTACAAACTTGCATTTCATTGTAGAAGCATCATAAAAAAGTCAAAAGTATATTCAACTCAGAGGAAATGGTATTATTTCCAGAACTCTATTCAGGCACTTGAATGCCCAACCTCAACTCAATGATTGAACAGTAAAATGTCCTTCTTAGCCATCTATGGATTTACCATTGTTGGTCTTGGACTGGTGAGGCGCTGGAGGGAGTGCTGATGGGGGAAGATTCATCCCGTGTTGTAGTACATATCGGCGCTGGGTCATCTGCAGATGATGGACCAGTTGCTGCTGCTGGAACGCCATCTGATGGAGGTCTGACGTCTTCACGTCCGAAGGCGACTGCTGAGATACCAGATGAGTCTGTTGAATCAGATTCATTTGGAGCCTCTCCTGCAACTGCTGCATCTCTGGTTCCGAAGAGATGTTCAGATTCCCATGAAGTATCTCCACCTGAAACCAACAGTTCGGGTGTCACCGTTAAATCAAATATACTCACTAAGTTTTACTAGTAGGTTAAGTTAGGTGAGTTTAGGTGACATACATAAAGATGATCACCTAAAGTAATGATCCACTTTTGTTTTTATAACATAAAGGCAACCATACGTAATAAAGTTTTCCTTGAATGTTTCTCAAGGAATAAATTTTTAATATCTTTACTGAGCCGACCCATTTCTTGAGGAGAGTGCTGCAATTCACATCAAAAGATAGCATAAGGCACAACAAGTTTACATACAGTTAGTTTCATCCACTTTGTATACCAAAACATTTTTCCTATAGACAATAACCATATTTTTCACAGGTCCTTACAGTATAAAGCTTTCCTTATCTGTACCATTATTAGTAGGTATACATATATTGTCTTTGAATGAATTTCATTTATAATTCAACTATATAAAAAGTATGCCTATAATTTGTCCAGGTTGATCTAAAACATTTTTAACTGTAGTGCATTGCAGTGGTCTACTTGAAACGCACAAGTAAGTTAGGAAAGCACAGAATCCCTGCCAAAAGTGACCACAAAAACTCCGTCAAGATGCCGAAGGGAATCTCAACAAATCAAACACATTCCAGGACATATCGTCCGGTTATTCTCGTACTGTAATTGTCTCTTGCTTGGTAAAACGACTTTTTAAGTATTATGGGCCGAAAATGCGGAAGAGAATTTCTTGGTCCTCCCAGAAAAGTAAAAATAATTGTAATAAGTAAAAATAATATATCACATCCTTCCATTAAATTCAATGAGCCCCTTGACATCACAAAATATTCCTGTTACTTGGTTTCAATTATAAAGCTTAGCTGTGTGAACTATACATTTCTCCTCTCTAATGGTAATAGTATAGGTACAGTATAAATGTCAGAAATGTAAGATTGTGATTGTGATTTTGTGAATGAATTTCACCAATTTAACTTCCTACATCCAACATTTGTACTTTCAAAGAGCAGAACAAACCCCATGCAAACCCCAGAACAAAAGTTGGGGATGCTGGTATGTATTTTATTTTTTTTCTTTCTTGCATACGTATTCTGTCTCTTTAAACATTTATTTTAATTGGGCTAGTCGTCTTTTACGAAAGGACCAAATCAAGGTTAAGGATGTGTTTGTTGACCCAAGATTAATAAAATCTTATATATTGGTCTTATTAATAACTATTGGGTATTTTGTGTCAAGGAGTCTTAGAATCCTATACATAGTTGCTGGTTCGGGTTCCCCAATTCAAAATGTTTGTAAAACACATATTCGAAAGCCAGTTAACGAATTTCCCATGTAGAGAATAAGCTATTGCCGTAGGTTTCATTGTAATATTTAGACCTGGGGGAGATTTAATTTTTTTTATTTTCATGCTGCAGAAGACAATAACACCATCCGTTTTTTGTGATAACTCGAGTAAAAATCATCCGATATCGATGAAATTTGGTACCAACACAAGCTTATGCAATTTCTTTCTGAACAATTTTGTGGAGTTTAAAATTCAAATAAAATAGTCACTGTAAACTCAATTGTTACGCATAAAATCGTAAAAAAATACCTACATTTTAATTTGCCATATTATTTTTATGGAGAGTATGTAAATTGTTGTGGTTTGCTTGTTTACGGTTATATTTTGATCAAATATTGCAAAATTATTTCTGTTATACTAGCTATTAACATTTAACTAATCTTCTGTAACAGGAATCCTAAGAACTAATTGACCTAATGTTGTTTAAATAGGAAATAAACTTGACACTTGTAAGAAAATATTGTAGTGAAAATTGAACCAGGCAAATGGAAATTTGCTTAGTCCGCAGGTGTGCTGCGGTGGGGGCATTTAGCATTACAATCGTGCAAAGTTCTATTCCCTCCCGTACAAAGTGTTGATAAATGACCGTATTTGGCAACAGACAAATGTTTTCATGCGATCGATGAAATCCTAGAGTTACCTCAACCGTTAGTAGGATTCTATTAAATGGATAGCTCATTTTGGCTAAATTAATATCGTTTAAAGGATCATTTTCAAGGTTGTGGTGAATATGAAATAAATCGGTATGGTAATTAAATGAAAGTACTCCCACATTTACGGCGTTGAGTACATTCTTAAGGCTAAACACTGGTATAGTAAAGCCACCTATAGCCTTCATATTTGTTTGACTATAATCTTTCCGCTGGTGCTTTTAGCTGATTCGTCAACGTCTACGTTTTTATTGCAACCTTACTTCTTCACTAGTTTGCATGACGTTTGTCTATTTTATCGGTTGCTAGTTTTTTTCTGTGGATAGTTTTGAATTAGCATGCGATTTTAACTTAATAATAATTGAGACAAACTACCTGCCAGTATCATTTTAGACAAAAGGAAAATTTTCACTCTCTGGATTGAAAAATGCAGTAAACATAAAACAAAATAGGTTAACTAATGGTGAATCATAAATATTCTTGCAACAAAAATTTGAAATATAAAATTTATCAAAACCACGAACGCTAAAAACTGATTTGGAATAATCTCGAAAGACAATCAAATCTGAATTAAGATGAATACAGTAATATAAAAGTTAATTTCCTTAAACACGTATACTGAACAACGTAGAATTCTAAACCCAAAATAATTCAAATAATTATGTTGGTAAAATTGATACAAATAGACATTGATATAGTTTTAGGAAAGATCCCATAAAGGGAATATGCTATTAACGTAGCTCCTATAGTAAGAACTAGACAAGCGACCGATTTCCTTATTTGTTTTGATGTCCCCAGAAGCCAAAATCATCATCCGTTAAATAGACAATAGACAAACATCTTTATTATTTTTTTTTTAGATATACATTAGCGTCATAATACATACAATTAAGTTGTTCTTGCTTTTCAAATAATTGTTAGGTTTTTTGGCTTTCCATCATCTTCATAGGTTGATGAACCTAGGCTTGAACCCTCCTTGACTGGTTGATTTACGAGACAATCCATTTTTTTCAATTTTTCATGAAGCCATTTTATGTGCAGTAGGAGGGAATTGAGATTTTTTCAGCCAATGGTTTCTTACTGAATTTGGTGTTATAGTGGACGGGGAGGCAAGTTGTTCCTATCTCAAGTATGGTGGATTGTTGTTGTGGTAATCCTGATGCCTAGGAATATAGGTGGCTTGTGTACATGTCTAGTTCATGAATGTGGAGTACTGGAAACTGTTAATATTTCGAGTGATTTGAAAGCTTCTCTACAATACCACCATTCATATGTATGCATATATATGTATATTTATGTGTGTGTCTGCAAGCAAGATAACTCGAGTAAAAAACATACGATTTTGATATCACTTTATTCAATGTAAACCTATATTTATTCAAACGAGTTCGCAAACCAGCATGATTGGACTACGGTGATGAGGAGGTTTTTATGACTGGGGGTTTATGGAATAAAAATGTATTTTTACTATTTTAACTTTCAAAAAATAAAATTTTGCCATGTCTTTCTAAGCCAATTTGTAGAGTTTAAAAGAATAACTAATTGAGTTCAGTGAAGTGTTGATAGGTAAAAACGGTCAGCCTAATGTTTAGGTAAAATAGAGAATTTTCTACTTTGCAACTTTAGATATATGTTTTAATCAAATTTGGCAAATTTGTTCATTCAATAGGCCTGAAAGCCATTTAATAAACCACACTTAAATATCTTCCCTGTAAGTAGCAAACCTAAGTATTAATTAAAATTGTTATTAAAAAAAAAAAAACTCTCACTAGCTCAAAGGATTAGTTTAGTAAATATCCTATAATGTAAATGGGAAATCGCTTAGTCTTCAGGTTTCCGGTGGCGGGGGTATTTTAACATGTCATACGGTGGATAAAAAACCGAATGTGTGAAATGAATTGAAATGAAATGAAAACCCTTTATTTCAACAGCCAAAGTTAGGGCCGCATGGCCCTTTCTTACACTTAACCTGCATACATAATTATAAATACAAAATAGAATACACAATTTAACACATTATACAAACACACACATTATTAACACATTATTTGTTTGTGGGGTGTCATGAGTGCCTATTTCCCCTGACTAATATTTGGGATTGAATTTATTATGAGTTAAATACTTGATTGGGCATATTGTTGTTTAAGGCTCGAATGGACATTACCAAGTTTACCTTAAATAAAAAAAAATCACTTAGTTCTTTTAGAAATATTCTACTAGTCCTCAAAATAATATTTTCTCAAAACAATTCATACAATGTTAAAAGTTAAGAATATTGACGGTAAGGATTTCATTTTTATGGCAAGTTGATGTTAAAGATATGTGAAAAATTTGAAAGTTTGTGAATATTTAGACTTTTTAGATGTTTTATTCATTATTCTAGTCAAAACCAGTATTTTGGTATGGATGACTGTTTTGATTAGGAAGTAGGCTGCATAAAGTAGAAATACTTAATGGAATTATAATGTCAAAATAAAGTTTTTCTGTCATAAAAACAAGCAGGACATTGATGTAGCACGGACAAATCCTTGAGGAACACCGGGTAACTAACTTGAATTTGTCTGATGAGATTTTTCCCATCAAATAAATTCTTTCTCGCAAGGTAATAAAATAAATAGCGGTGTAAAATAATAAAACAATAGTATGCGATGAATAAAAGGCGTAACAGTGGAATATCATTAAAAATCTGTCAGAGTAAACTATTTCATTGTTCCTCATACTGGAGGTTTTTTAAGGCTTTATAGTTCAGCTCAAAAATTCATAGGTGTGGAATTTTTATTGTTTTTTATTGTGGGTCAGCTAACTCTCGTCGTCACATTTCATTAACTTTATTTCGTTTATCTGTGAAGTTGACATAAATATGGCTTTGAAGAATGTATAATGACTTTTTACTCGCTCGAGTAAGGATAAAATTTAATTTATTTAAAATTTCCAACACTGGCTATTTTGGCTGTTTTCATAGTTGCCTGATTCCACTAAGCACAATTTCCATTAGAACTAGTGTTGTATGTAAGCAATTTTA